AGTTGAAAATACGCGTCCGAACGTGTGTTGCTAGAGTGCCAACACCTGGAAAGGAGTTATATTGTAATTAGATCTTGTCTAAAATCATGTTATATATAGGAGAGGATGGTTGTGTAGAGAGTACATTTGCTTTAGTATTTTTATTTATTTTTCTTTGGTTTACTATTGTTATGTCTAGCTAAGAGGTTTAGCTATGGTTAGGGGAGATCCTCTCAATGAAGCATGATATTGTTATTGACTTATGAGTTTAATGGTATGTGATATTTTGTTAATTTAACTTTTTATTCTTATTAAAATTTTTGCTCTGTAAAGATTCTTGAGTCATTGTGTTTTATACCTTAATTTCTTGAATTTCCTTGCGAGACAAATAACTAGTTATTCCATGTTTAAATTAATTAGAATTTATTCCATATGATAATATAATTGGAGGATTACTTGGGTAAATCATGAATCCGATTGTTAGGAAAGTTTGATTTATTGTAGACTCCGGACACAGTAAATATTTACAATCAGCAACCAGTTTATTGATTTTTCTGGATAAGCTTTTGGTTGTAAACATAGGTTTTTTTTCGTTTTTATTGCTAAATTCGGTGACTTGAGTTAATTGACACTTGATTCTTATCTAGGTTGAAAATTAAGTCTTTAATCATTGATTTGAAAGGGTGTACCTGACGCTCTAGTATTTTTTTTTCATATTGTTTTAATCACTTTACTCGGTTTTATTAATTCAAACACTTTTTTGAAACAAAACATCTTCACAAGTTTTGTTACAGAATTTAGTGTGGTTTCTAGTGTTTTTACAATTCTCTGAGGGTTCGACCTCAGTCTTTCGAGTTTATATTACTTTACACAATTTGCGCTTGAGTTTACATATTTAAAGTTGTAGCAATATGCACGTTATACTATTTTTTCTTTATTTAGGTTTTGTTCCATTGGATTTTCCTAACAAGGTTTTAATAAGGTATATTAATGCGTTCAATGCTATTCTAAGATTCATCTGAATATGTACTCTTTTTCCTTCACTAGGTTTTTTCTGATAGGATTTTCTTAGCAAAGTTTTTACGAGGCATATTATCTTGACATAATAGTCATTCAAGGGGGAGTATTGTAAATATATTGTATATAGATATGTATGAACTATATCCTACCAATTTAATAGGTGTTAGTATTTAACTCTATAACTCTACTAAAAGTTAATATTGTATTTGATAACCATTATGATTTGAAGCCTATAAAAAGAGGTCCTCACCACATTGAGAAATACACAAATTGAAAAAAAAATTTCTAGCATATATATATTCTCTATATTTTCTTTGTAGTCTATATAATTCTCTTACTCTTACAAAAGTTTAAAAATAATTAATTTTGATAATTAAAATTTTGAAGGAAATAAATTTGGTGAAAAGGTTGATGCCCACGTGATAGAGAGAGGAAAAAGTGGGTTGACATTGCTGACATGCCCATGTGGATGATGGTGGTTTGAATTTTGAAATGTATAGTGGGTTGACATTGCAGACATGCCCATGTGGATGATGATGGTTTGAATTTTGAAATGTATTTCTTGTATGCTATTTTTACTAAATTATCCTTGAGATTACAATTATTACTATTTTTACTAAACATAATTTACAATTATGTTTTGTATATACAATGAAATGAGCCGACTTAGTTTGGCTTGAATACAAAACAAGTTTAATTTATTCAGTTTCAGCTCGTTTTATAATATGAGCAAACCTGTGCGAGCTAAAAATGGGTAGAGTTCGACCTACTTGATTCATTTAACAGCCCTAACGGTTAGGATAGTAGTACTTGATTAAATAATGAATTGATCCATGTGATCCGTGATCATGGGATCCAAATCCTCAATTGCTTTTTTTTTTCTTTTGATTTTTTTAAAAGATTATCCACCATTAATAGGTTAGGAATTACTTTTATATAATGTGTCATACTTAAATGAATGATAGGATAACTAATAAAAAAGACTTTAGTATAGGATTAATAGTATTTTGTATTCTTAAAATATGCAAGTTTTGTCAGTTTAGTTTTCATTGCAATAATTTGTCAATTTAGTCCTAAAATATTCAATTTGTGTAAATGATCCCTAATCAAATAGTCTATTAAATTTTTTGACGGAAGTGACTATGTGTGATTCTCTTAAACGATATCAGAGGATTAACACTTGATTATTTCCATAAAAAACTTAGCGGGTTGTTTATGTAGGAACCATATAAATATGAATCAAATATTTTGGGAACTAAATTGATAAATTTAATACAAGAAAGATCAAATTAACAAAACATGCGTATTTTAAGGACTCAAAATACTATTAATTCAAAAACATATAATAAAGGAGATTTTCTCCCATAACCCGAGTAAATATTCAGTATAATGATGATATCACGCATGAGCGGAGCCACACATGGAGACCAGGGTGGGCACTCCCCCCCCCCCCCCTCTTTTTGGATCACCTTAGACGAGGATCCATAAAATTATATTATACATTATACTTGCCCCTTAATTTTTGAAAATTTCAATAATGGTTCTAGCCTCTTTTTTTTTCCAATAAATTAGTGATCCACTAACCTTCTAAAATAACTGTTAGTTTTGAATTGAGTCAATTAGATGTAACTACCCTGATCTATTTGTATATTAGCGAAAATATAATATTTATCTTTATTTAACACAATGTTCGTTACTTTTTAAGAGCAATTTTTAGTTTTATTTACTATTTTTTTAGTAATAGTAGTCTATAACTTAATAAAATACGATCATATACAGAAGATAAAAGGTTGTAACCCAAATATTTCAAGTTATTTCTAATAAAGAATTTTTCTATAAGATCGATAATGATCTCAACTAAATTTTGCAATTACATAAATAATAATTTTACTACGGAATTGTGATTGTTCACATTGATAAAAATTAGTGAAAAATTAATTTATATTTATTCATATACAAAATTTTAGGGATTTTAAAAAATTTCTATTTTATTGAAATGCATTATTAGGTTAAAATGTACTTCTTTTTGTTAGGATTTTGTTTCGACTAACTAAAAATTGAATATACTATTTCACAAAATTTTATTTTGATTTTTACTTTTTTGTCATTCTTGAACTGAATTTTTTTTATCAATTTCGGCTAGATATTTTTTTGTATCAATTATATTTTATTCTTCATAAATATTCTTGGCTCGCCCCTGATACCATGTTATCGATGATACATCACCCCACTATTTTAAGGTGTTAATTATTTAGCATCATAGTTATTGAAAATTACTAAAATAATAAGATCTATTACACACACATAATATATACTATAAGTTGAAATTGTAGAAGCTGTATTGGGCTTGTGAGAAAAAGGAGAAGAGAAGAGAAATGAAAAAAGAAAAAAAGAAAGGGAATAATTTGTTGTGTGTAGGCTATGTTATCATATACTCTTTTATTTTTTTTATAATAAACTAATAGTAAAAAAATTACAACATTACTTTACGCTACTAATAATATCTAGTACTCCCCCACAAATTAGAGTATAAAGATAAAAAAATGTCCAACTTAAAACAAAGATTATTGAAGACAGATCGAAGTACTTTAATACAAATACCAAACTAAATAAGAATTTTATTATAAAGGTGGTAAATACATTAGGTAACTTAGATCGGTCTTTTGTAAGAAATAACCATGTCATACAAGAGAAATCATCAACAAATATCACAAAATACTAAAAATCAGAGGTACTTTTAACTCTCGCAAGACCCCAAATGTCGGTATGAACAACATGAAAATGACTAAATTGGCGAGTTGAAAAACTAGGAGGAAAGGAAGTACGGTGATGTTGGTTGACAAGCTTTGCATTCTAACATAGAAGAAGAACTCAAACCAGAGATAACTTAGACGTAATTTTTGCAATGAATGATAACATAGTCGAAAATGCCACTAGAGAGGAGACACAGTTGCACTTAAGGTAGGAAAGGAACTTTCGTGATTCAAGTAATACAGGTGATTACGCTCGTGTCTCATACCAATCATCTTTTTCGTTTTAAGATCTTGAAAACACAAGAATATGAAGAAAATGTTACTGAACATTATAAGGAGTTGGTTAACTAACTCAAAATAACAAATGAAAGAAAAAAAATTCGAATGAACAAACTAGCTAATGACAAGGACTGAGTGGAACTGAGATCATCAGTCCCATGTATCGGTCAAAATGAATTATTAGCTAATACAATACGTGATTTTGACGAATGAAAGTTAAAGAATAGGGACGACATACTAAACATATGAGCATTAACTCTTGAATCAATGATCCAAGAAGACAAAGAAGGCTGAGTAACCATGCATGTTGCGTTATCTTCGTTAGTAACATTGACAATACGACAGTAGAAGCAGACAAACTCAAAGCGAGTGAAAACAACTTATGAATGAGTTGTGTAAGCCAAGAAGAAAGATCATAATGAGAGCCAGAACTAGAGAAATTACAACTAGAGAAAGGGAATAATTTGTTTTGTGTATTTAACACGTGTCATATAACTACTCCACTGCTTAACTACCACTCATTTAAATTTTTTAAAAAATAGTCACTAATCTAAATTTTTTAAGAAAATATAAGTTTACCACCTTAACTATTCATAATTATTGTTACCCCAATTTGTTTTATCTGGACTTTCAAATAATATGACTATAATAATAATAAAAAGGATGATAGAGGGATATGTGCAATTTTTGTGATTTTGTTGATGTTCGAAAACATTTGACTCCACTCACAAAAAGATTATTGAATTTTGTCCTTTCCATGTTTCGAACTCTGATTATGCATGCTGCCACCTCCATTTTTATCATTGGTCTACCATGTCAATTAAGAGAGAAAGAGGTATTGTCACATTCTTATTGAATTAGAGAACCACTCGGATTATATAGATAAAAAAAAAAAAAAACCTCACTTTAAATTGAATGTTTATTATTTATAGGTCAAGGATGATTGGTACCTGGCTGGGAAGGAGCTGTCGATTGTAATTCTATACTATAATTAGTTAGTAATAATAGGTGATATTACCGTGAATATTATGTCAACATACTGTAAATTATAACCATGGGACGCCGCCGAACTAACAATCGACGCGCACCGCCACAAAGACGGGCTATCGTCGCCGCGTAGGGGATACACACCAGCACTTTCCGGGACATAACTGCGAAGAACAGTTCGTAAATAATGATAGTATAAAAAGACGAACAACACAAATCTTAGAGAAGAACAACAACCCAGAGCTGAATTGTTCGGCCTCGTCGACAACGACACAATCAAAATCAAAATTCGAAATCGTGTTCAAAATCGAAATTCAAATCTCTATAAATAAAATATTCTAGTTGTTTTTGTACTCTATTTGAAACTTCTTCCGTTGACTTTTCTCTCTCTCTCTCTCTCTCTCTCTCTCTCTCTCTCGCCTATAAAAGTAGTCTTTTTTGGGGGTCAATGTATCAATATACAACTCCATCGTACGGTTTTCCTTCCATGTCGATTTCTGGGATTCAAGGCCAATTGCTTGAAGTTACAGGTACACCAATTTTCCTCTTCTTCTTCGGCTGTGCATGTAATATCTGTGTGTAATCGTGTTCTTTTTTTTTTTTTTTTTCCTTAATTGAGTGTTTGAATGATTTGGTTTTCAGTTGTTAGTTGTAATAAATTAAAGGATACTGAATGGATTTCAAGGCAAGATCCCTATGTCTGTGTCGAATACGGTAGCACAAAGTCCCGCACCCGAACCTGCACAGGTTTGTATATACCCTCTCTCTCTCTCTAAACACATCCATGTTCAGATCTGCATCTATAACCTTTTTCTTATGTAAAATAGAAATCAGTGTTCGAAATTGTTGAATTGGTTGCGCTGGGAACTAATTTACTGGCTAATTTATTGTCCTAATCATTCATAATTGGATTGAAATGCAGGATAGATTATGTCGGTCAAAATAACATTATAGTTTTTGAATATGTATTCAGTATTCCCAGTTCATAAGAAAAGAAAATGAATTCAAATTTTTTTTTTTTTTTGGGGTATTTGCAGACGGAGGCAAAAATCCTACGTTTCAAGAGAAATTCGTGTTTACACTAATTGAAGGGCTACGAGAGTTGAATCTTGTGGTGTGGAATAGCAATACCCTCACTTATGACGACTTCATCGGCAGTGGAAAGTAATTGTTGCCCCTAAATTTCTGTTGTTTTTCAATCATTAACCCTTTTTTAAAAAAATTTAGTCTTGATTTGGAATTTACTGACCTCTTTTTTGGATGGATTTTGGCCATTCTTAGGGTTCAATTGCAAAAAGTTCTTTCTCAGGGATATGATGACAGCTCTTGGCCTCTTCAGACCAAAACCGGAAGGTAGATTTGAAAACCTTCCCCTATCAATTCATCAATTATCTTCTGTATCTTTGCATGTGAATGCTTGCCCATATGTAGATTTTATGTGTATTTGAAAGGTTATTGACTTCGACAGCAGTGAATTATTTATTCCAATTCTTGTTGCCATCGGAAAGTTGCCTAATGGGACATATTAGAGAGTAGACAACCATAGGTGTCAGTTATAAAGGATATTTTGTGTTGTGATTTTGTAATGTAAACCTAATGAAGCGCTTAATTACATTAATTTTATCGTGGTAAAGCATCTATGTTATTCTGACTGTTGAAGTGATCCTCCACTTCACTTAACACAAATCAACATAGCGTGGTTTAGATGGTAAACCACATACTAGACACCAAAAACTAGTGGAAAAGATTTCTGGTTCTGGGAAATGGCCTATTCTGTAAGGTCTTTTAGAAAGTTGAAGTTTCTCAAACTCCATTAGGATTGGTAGCAAGCGCTTGCTTTGTCAACAAAACTTCAGTTTTTGGACTTAGGACATTTCCTTTGGAGATTCAAGTCGTTGATTTGCTATTATACATGTAGTCTAAATGATTTCCATATTAATGTACTGCATGAATATACTTCATAGATTTTCCATTTGCAGCACATTATTGGATAGGATTTTGTTTTATGCGTTTTGGCGTTTCCAAACTTTGGTGAGCTATGAAATTTGGTCTGATTGTGGCATATCCAAGTCGAGACTTCGTAATATATTGCATTTCCAAATATGTAATCCATGGAATTTGATGTGGTTCTTGAATGGCACTATTATACTATTTGAGCTTAGAACTCAAAACTAAAGTAAATTGAGCATGAGCTTTCGCAGACAGGAGTGGACACAATTTAAACCTTTATGTTACAAACTTAGCCTGATTTATATCTGTGATATTAATTTCCTGATTTCATCTTACCATCTTAAACAAGCTTTACCTGATTTATAACCGTGATATTGCTTTCCCTTTTTTTATCTTGTGGTCTTAATAAGACAATAAAGCTTTTTTGTTTGAAATGGATTTATAACTTTTACGGAATATAGCACATGGTTCTTCACTTCTGCTCCCCCCCCCCCCCCCTCTCCTCTCCCTTATTCTGACCTTTCCCCATACAAAATTTTATGTATTAATTTGCCTTCCCTTACATGGTGTCATTGATCTGTCGAACAGCAGCAATAATTGACACGCAGTATATATATATGTATATGTACCAAAGTGATTGCATTTAATCTGTCTGACCCTCATACTGTTCTGTGCATTGGGAGGGACTCATTGCAGAGAGAGACCAGCTTTTGGGATCTCATTTCCAGGGAGGATTGCCTGAATAATACCCTAAAGAGTAACAGTAATGGTGGTATATATATATACTGCATGTCAATTATTGCTGCTGTTCGACAGATCAACGACACCATGTAAGGGAAGACAAATTAAAACGTGTACTTTTGTTTGGGGAAAGGTCAGAATAAGGAAGATGAGGGGGGGGGGGGAGAAGAAGTGAAGAACCATGTGCTATATTCGGGAGGGAGATTACTCTAGCTTATTATAATTGTAGCGAAGTCCTCTCTTGTTTTCTCCATCCCAGTTGCCTGTTTTGTGGAAGTGGGTAATAAGTGTCATACATCATTGTTAAGAGAGGTTTGGAAGAAAGGATAAGGGAGGGACTGAGGCATCCGTTGTCCAACTTTTTTGGAAGTGATTGCATATTTTCATTTCATGCAGCTATAAGTTTTGAGGGATTATTATCAGCTGAAGTGAGTTTCACAATGCACTGCTGCCCTGTGATGTCCATCCAGAACGTATGCATTGTACTTTGCCGATTCCAAGCGAACCGTACCAGTTTGGACATAAGTAGGGAATTGTTAAACTTCTGGTTAATGAGTACTCAGCTTTTGATACACTAGTTGTTATGGCCAATTTTTGACAGAAAATTAGGTGAATCCAAATTTATCATATATTTTACTTAGCGAACAGGCCATGGTTGGTTTCCAAGTATGCATACCAAACGAGATATTATAAAACTCTTATCTAGTTCTGATTTGTGGCATATAGTGTGTGCATTAATAATGTATAAATTGATAGTCGCAAAGATTATGTCAAATATTCTTTTATGTCAAGACTTATTTCTTTCAAATTTTTAATTCACTCTTTTGTCCTAAACAGGCATGCAGGAGAGGTTCGGCTAATAATGCATTATGCAAACGCCAATGTAAGTTCCCTGTTTCTGTTTGTGTCTCTCTTTGATTTATTAGGTATCTCTGTTTTTTGTGGTGATTAGTGAACTTGTGATCACAGTTGTGATATGTGATCTTATGTTGTTACTCGAGATGAAATTTCATTTCTAACTGAGCATTAATGTTTTGTTGCAGAAGTTGGCAACACACTATGCTCCATCGGCTCCACCATATGTAGCTCCAGCTGTACCTCAAGCTTCTTTTTACTCTGCACCACCTCCAGCATCAGGTCATTATCTTCAGCCATCCACTTCCTACCCTGCACCATCTCCTTATCCTTCATACCCACTGGCTTCAGCAGCTTATGCACCACCTCCATACCATTCTTCTCAGCCAGCGGCTTATCCTCAAGCCTATCCACCACCTTCAGCATATCCTCCACAACCATATCCACCTCCACCACAGGCCTCACCCTATAATCCTCCAGGTAGCATTTCTTTTTGATCTATACTTCTTTTCACCACCTATGGTCTCATCCTTAACAGTATATTTTGTTTTCCAAACAGGTCCATACCCTGGAACTTATCCTCCACCACCATATTGAGATAGAACTCCTGTGTGCCAAAGTTAAGACGCAAGATTTATAGGTTACCTACAGTCGTACTGTATAGGCCTTGTGTTGAAAATGGCTTTGTAGTTATATTGTCCAACATCAAGAATTCAATGCTTGTGATGTCAAACTCATATATTTTTGTTTTTTGCTGGAAAATGTTAATTGTGTTTTGTACTCAGAATGTTTCTGACACAAATTGGTTGGTTTATCTGTTTTTTTTCTCTTGTTAAAGGCGTGTTGTTTGGAAATTTTGTTCTTGAGATTGACATTGATGCCGTCCCCCGCCATCTAAGTCACTGTCACGAACCTCGCTCTCTCTCAAACTTCCCCACACGACCCCCACCTGGGGTGTTTACTCTAACCTGTTAACACGAATTCCACGCGCACAGTTATAAAATTGATACGATTATTAAAATATGTATAATAAATAGTTTAAATTAATATTTAATATTTAAAATACACTAAATAAATATTTTTAGGTGAATTGTAATAAAAATTTGATGCGAATAATAATGCCACGAAATAAAAATATACGACACAACTCACACGATTCCATTGATACCCCGCCCACCCAAAGTCAGCCATATAAGAGATGGTCAAAGGTGGCTATTGTTTTTGTCATTGCAGCCCATCAATCAACAACATCTACATATGTCTAATGGGTCAAACAATGCTGCATTGAGTCTCCTTGTTTAAGCCTCTGAACTTATCAAGTCTCGTTTATGTAATGGACGAATTCTTGCCAACCCAAAAAAGGTCCATGACACAAGGATGGGTGTGGTCTGAATCTGTCCAATGATGGAATTGAATTAAATTCTTAAATTAGATCTTTATAGTATTGTTCATAATAAAAATTTAATTTTGGAACCTGATTTTCAATTCACTCATTAAATTAATTATGAATTTTAATATTAAATAGAATTCGTTTGCTACAAGATGATTAGATTTGCGCTGACTACTATCTCGACTTCAATAGCAGGCCACAATGAGTTGGGCAATGTTAGAACATTGTCCTTAAAAAAACAAGAGTAACTAGTCTTTAGGCGTGTGTATAAAAGAATTGAATGTGGAATTTCTGAATTATTAAAAAGAAGACAAAACCAAAAATTTTAAATTAAATCTAATGGTTAAACACACTTTTAGTCCCCAAAGTATGTGTGTAGTGTCTATTTGGTCTCCGATCTTTGAATTGTGTCTATTTAATCCTTAATGATTTTTTTATGGACATTTGAGATTGTATAATTGTATCTATGTGGTTCAATCCCAAATGTCCATAAAAAAATCATTAATTCTTTTGAACGCTCCATTCACATGAGATCAAATAGACAAATTAAAAATTTTAGAGACTAAATAAACACAAATTAAAAATTTTAGGGACCAAATAAACATAAAATTAGAAACCATTTGATTGACGAGTGTCCAGGACTGTTACATGGACGTTTAGGATTTGACCACTTAGATACAAATTAAAATTTTTAAAGATCAAATAGACACTAAACACATATTTTAAGGATTAAAAATGTATTTTATCCTAAATCTAAATATCATTTTCCTTCTTCTGTCTATCACAGGCATTTTTCATGGGGTCGGACTTGGTATATGTGCCGCTGCGCGCCAACGAGAAACACACACACACTTACTGAAAAAGAAAAAAAAACACACACGCACACACCACCCGAGAGCATAAAAATTGTTTCATTGAAAAGGAAAAAGAAAAAGAAAGCCCTCCAACTCCAAACAAACCCAAAAATCACTCTCTAGTCTCCAAGAAAGGACAAGCGTGACCACCAACACTGATTAAATTTCTTCCTTTACTCTCTGTTTTTAAGAACTGAGTCTGGGTCTCTCTGCTCAGAGAGAGAGAGAGATGGGTGTGAGAATTTGGATCCCTTTTCTTCTTCTCTCTTTTGTATAGTGAGTAGTGGACAAAGACCACTTCTTCTCAGAAGAAGATGGCAATAAAACAAACTGATCATCATCAACAGACACAACAACAAACAAAATCATTCTTGTTAGATGCTCTTTACTGTGAGGAAGAACAATGGGAGGGGGAGGAGGAGGAGGAGGAGAAGGAGGAGGAAGGACAAGAGGCTTTAGAGAGAGAAAGCAACATGAACAAGAACAACAATAATGGAAGGAATTCTTCTCTCTTATTAGAGCAAGATCTGTTTTGGGAAGATGAAGAGCTTCTCTCTCTCTTCTCTAAAGAAGAGCAAACCCATCTCGGTTGGTTTGACAATGTTGAGACAGATTCTTCTCTTCTCTTGGCTAGGAAAGAGGCTGTGGAGTGGATTCTAAAAGTCGATGCTCACTATGGATTCTCAACTTTGACAGCCATACTTGCAATCAATTACATTGATAGGTTTCTCTTTAGCCTTCATTTTCAGAAGGATAAGCCATGGATGATTCAACTTTCAGCCGTGACTTGTCTTTCTTTGGCTGCTAAGGTTGAAGAAACCCAAGTGCCCCACCTCCTAGATCTTCAAGTAAGTATTCACAAGTGTCTTGTTAAAGGAAAAGACTACCGTACCATTTTCTTTTTTGTATTAAAAAGTTTGGTGAGATTACAATTCAATAAGGTTAATATTCAATTCGAGTCAAGTTCTAACATTTAAACATTAAATTTTCACCAAAAAAAATGTTACGATCAACAATAACCGGAAGAGTCACTCTTAAACGGGTTATTTTATTGTAATTTCAACAGATTAAGTTGCTAAAACTTAGTTTATCACACGATAACTTTCAGGACAATACCGAAAAATAATCATTTGTTACATTATTCTTTCGCTTGCATAAAATGTCATTACTAGTATATATGTGAATTTTGAATGCTGCCTAATTTTTCGTTCATCTTGATTAGGTAGAGGGAACAACAGAGTATGCGTTTGAGCCCAAAACAATACAACAAATGGAGCTTCTGGTCCTCTCCACTCTTCAATGGAGGATGAACCCAGTGACCCCACTTTCGTTTCTTGATCACATCACAAGAAGGCTTGGATTGAAGATCCATCTCCATTGGGAATTCCTCAGGCGGTGTGAGAGTCTTCTTCTCTTTCTCATGGCCGGTAAGCTTTCAAATCTCATTGACCACTGATTAGATCTTTTTGATAAGAACAAATGAAAAAAGTAGCAAAAACCCATTTTAGATTTCATCATTTTACATACTTTTTGTTCATGATTATATGGTTGTTTAGATTGGAGATTCGTACGTTATCTACCTTCTGTCTTGGCAACTGCAACAATGCTTCACGTTATTCATAAAGTTGAGCCTCGTGATGCAATTGACTACCAAAATCAGCTTCTTGGTGTTCTGAAAATCAGCAAGGTTTGTAAATTGTAACTTTTTTTTTTTAATGTGCTATGACACCCTTCTTTTACTTCATCCTGACATGTAGGACTAGGGTATCGAGTAGTTATTTTTTTATATTGAATCAAACGTTATTAATAAAAAAAATGAGATTACAATTCAATCCGATAAAGTTACTATAAATTGAATTGTTTGAAATCAATTTTAACTATTTTTTAAGTTGTAACTTAACTCCATTGAGTGATGACTTAGTTATAATAATTCTTATTTGTTTGTAAAAATAAATTCAGGATTATAGCCCTATCCCTCTGTTGATATTATTAGGTTAAAGTTTGAATGTCGCCATTAATAGGCTTGTTAATTGTGTCGGCGAAACACGTTCACATTGAGTCTTAATGGGTCCGTGTTAAAAAATATTTTACTCATATTCAATTCATTTATTAATCATGTCATATCGAGTTTGTGTCGTATCGTGTTTGAATCATATATAACTATTATACAAATAAATTATGTCGTGTATTTTTTTTCATTAATTTTATCTATATCAAATTTATTTATTAATTATATCGTATCGGATCTACTCGCTTACGACGAGATGAGTGGCTTAAAAAAAAAACTTAAACCCTTATGTCATATTAATGGGTCTGCCGTATTTTAACACGTCTAATCATTATTTATTGTAATAAGACCTTAATACTTTGATTTATTTTACAGGAGAAAGTAGATGATTGCTATAAACTCATTCTAGGGCTGTCAAACACTTGTTTCTATGACCAAAAAAACCCTCACAAGCGCAAGCATCAAGAAATTCCAGGTACCCCAAGTGGTGTATTTGATGTATCTTTCAGCTCTGATAGCTCAAATGATTCGTGGGCTGTGGGATCACCAGTTTGTTCATCACCTCAGCCGCTGTTCAAGAAGAGAAGAGTTCAAGAACAGCAAATGAGATTGCCATCTCTCAGCAGGGTGTTTGTGGATGTTGTCGGCAGGCCCCGTTGAACTCTCTCTCTCTCTCTCTCTCTCTTCACTTAGTAGATTCTATACTCTATAAGTGCTATTGCTTGTGTCTCTGCGTTTCCAAGTTTCCAACCACTATCAGTATAATAAACATGAGAAGATGAAACGAAGAGTTGGTGGTTGCATGCAGAGCGGCTGGCATTTTACAGAGGAAAAAAAAGTGAGAGAGAGAAAGAGAGAGAGTAATGAATATCTGTACTGTTTCTCTATTCATGTTGTCATGCCTTCCCTTCTTATTTCTGTCTCTCTCTCTCCTTTTTGGAGCATACTTTATATGGACGCATTGATATTCTCATAAATTAAAGAAATTTGTTCACTAAAGTCAATTAATCGTTTCAGACCCGTAGCTGGAATGTCAAATGTTGGTGGATATGCCAAATCCATGACTTTCTGCATGCTTAGTTTCGTATGTGGAGAGAGAGATAGAGAGAGAGAGAGAGAGGAGAGAGAGAGAGAGAATTTGTTTTCATATGAAGGGAGGAACAGATTGTCGGGCAGTGGGGTTTCAAGGCTTGGTGTCTTTGTGTTGGAGACTTGATTTGATTTTGTGGGGAGAGGGGTTTGACCTCGTTGGCAGACCCACTTGCCCTCACCTTTACACTCACACTCTCTCTGTCTCTCTTAATGCGTGACGAGAAAACAACTTCCCCTAAATTGCTCTTAGAATGTCTAAACTTTTTGGCCAGAATTAAGGGCTTTTTATTTAATTTAATAGCTGCAAGATTAACGGTTAGCAAGCAAATCAAGACAAAATCAATAATGGGTAACCCAAAGGTAACTCAAGTGATAACAAGAATGAGTTGTAAATTCAGACGTTCTAAATTCGAATCTTGACAATTCCTTAGAACCAAGTCCTAAGAGTTTATCCCTTGTGAATATCCTAGTTTCGACGTAGATGTCTTACTTTTGATTAGACCACAAAAACATTAATCGAAATGCGCATAAACTAACTTAGACGCCCTTGTTAAAAAAAATGACGGGGTAAGCAATGCCGGTAATGATACAAGTGAGTTTTTTTTTTTTTTTGACGCCATGTATAAGTGCAATCCCAAAAGCTTTCTTCCCACTTTTAGCTGATCTACTGTTTAAGATTACGGAACTTAGCTTTATTAGTGTTTCTGTTAATCCATAATTGTCAGATTAGACTAACTCCGTGATCTTTCTGAGTTATAGTACTTCCGTGAAAGTCGGGCAACTTTACCCTATAATTCTAGAGATTTATAACCATCAAAGTTAGTTTGGATTAACAATATCTAATTAAAAAAATGAGAGGTCTGAAGCTCGAATCTTATCATAAACAAAGTGTTTATGAGTGAAGATATCGCTACGCACTTGGTGTATGGCTGCAATTAGGTACCTACAAGTCATCTGACGACTATCTTCTTTTACTGGAGAATGGGTAAAAAGAATGACTGAATGTACAAGATTTCCGGTCACTGCAGAATCTGAAAAAGATCAAATTTATGCAACACTACTCCCTCGATGTACATGACACAAAATAACAGAGTGCCAAAAATTTTGGGTTTTGTAGTTGTAGCCTTTTCATTTGTTATGCACAAATTGCCAATGGATTTAGGTATTGCATTCGTGCCAGCTGGTAAGGTGTATTCCTCCCCCACCTATTAATCTTGAGCCATTTGTCATTCTTCTTTTGTCCCACATGTCCCTTATGTTTGTATCAATACCTTGAGACAGTGCTATCTTACATTATACTTTTTCTAATGTGGATTGAATTTATATCACATATGTCTCGAAAACCCTCCTACAAAAAACAGAGAGAGAGAGAGGAGGGAGCATTGGGAGATGTTTTAATGGAGCACTTCACAGCCCAGAAAAGGTTAAAAGCTAAAAGTTAAGGAATTTGAATATGGGACACAAAATCTTTTGATTTTGTGGAAGATTGTATTTGGTCATACTTTTGTAACTCTGCTTTAAGGTTGGTAGAGAGCAATGTAGATCGTTGTAAATGCATCATGATTCATGAGAGAGAGAGAGCGGGAAACAGCTCTATACTCCCAAGACCAAATGATCATGAAGTCAGGGAGTCCCCATAGCAATAATTGTAGGATAATGTGATGAGGGGGTTTGAGATTGAGAGTCACAGTGACACATTATTAATCAATTTTTTCTTCACTATTAGATTTTCCATCATGTAGAGTCGAAACACCCACCCACTTACAACAAATTTCAAAAAACTCATCATCTGCGTCTAATTTTTAAAAACAAAATAAAAAAATGTATTCATCAATTTGGTGTCTCGCTCTCTCTCTTTTTAGTTTAACGATTAAGAGTATTTGACTCAATTTATATGCACTTCGATTAATTCTCTCGTCAATTCGATCTTAGGCAGGTCATTCATGTCGGAACTAAAATATTCATAAAAGATAATTCTCTCGTGATCTAATCCGAATAAGTTGTCAAAATTCAAATTCAGAATTTTTGAATTTACAATTCGTCTTTATTACTATTTGAGGTACCCTTTAGAGTTGTCTCTCTCCCTCTCCTTCTTTCCCATCCTTCTTTGCCATTGTTTTATTAATAAATCATATGGATTCAAAACAAACCACTTGAACAAGAGTAAATATTCAAAAAAATCATTCTTCACACCAGTAGTACCACATTATGTCACCATTTACTAAAAACTAAACCATATCAAATTTAATAATCACCAATTTATCTATCATCATAAAGAAGTAGGATTCCATTTTATTCAATTTTCAGATTCTCTATTAGACCACGCGGCAATATCGTTCCATTGAGTATTTACTCCCCTGACCAGAGTAAAGTCCTTATATGCAAATTTTTTCATACTCTTTCCCTGGTCACAGCTGTAAAGCTGAAATGTCACAGAACTAAAGGATCCACATGGGTCTCTCTCTCACACACACACACAGAGAGCCAGTAGTTCTTTTGTTTTGTTTTGTAGATGGAAATACCTGTACCAATGAGGTGATCCATAAGTTCTGTTACCTTCCCTTGTCATTTTTAAAGCTGATCTGTTATTCTGATGGTCCTTAGAGACCTTGATGTTATGTTGATGTGTACCTCTGTTTTTGTGGCCCTCCCCACAGAAGGAAGGCCCCAAAACCAGTCAACTTGCTTGAATTTGCACATCCACTACGTGAATCAAATAATTGAGCCAAACCACCTAACTAGGTGATTTTGTGGAGAACCGGTCATATTTTTTGTTATAAAATTAAAAATTTGAATATTGAAGTTCACATTAAAGTTTAATAGTTGACTGTTATGTTAGTCTAACTAAATTCGTTTTCAAAAAATATAACAGACATAATCAGGGATCTCATGATCCCACCAGTAAAAATCTATCGAAGTTAACTCTAGGCGCTCATTATTACTTTTACCCTTTTTTAATTAGTAAAAGAAATAATAATAATAATTGAGCCAAGTCGTTCTCTCATTTTATAGTTATTGTCCATGTATACCCTGTAGCGGGGAGAAAAATATAATCACCGAGATAGTAGTCCAGTTGGGTTTAATAGATAGTGAAAATCCTGTCTTCTTCTAGTGCCCCGAGTATGAACCCGCTTATAATAGTAGTGTCCAACTTTCCAAGTGAGACCCCAATCAATAATCACTGGCCTGCACACAACGGCCTAGAGCCTACCCTGCCTTGCATACAGTTTCTCATCTTGAGAAAGGTAAGGTTAAAAAGAGAATAATGGTAAGACCAATACTATTGTGGCCTATGGGTAGGTGGTCCTGGAGTTGGTAGATTTTATCACTCTCTACCTTGTTGCTAAGGAATCAAATGTATGGCTTCTTAGCCTATCAGGTACCCAAGAGTCCCTTTGGGAGGTCAGAAGAAAAAAACAATACGAGTTTTAGATGTTTTCCGGGGTCAGGACATGTCCCAAATCTCCGACACTTCGCTGCCATTTTGGAAGCATGTCAGCTATTCAGACAAAGATTTGGGTAGCTTGTGACAGATTTGGTGGCCAACCTCCATTATGACGGGAGGAATTAAAATAAGACAAGCTAAAAAGTTAGAGAAATTAATTTTTTTTTAAATTATTCGTTTCGTAAATGAGCGAGTTCGATACAATATATTTAATAAACGAATTATGTAAGACTAAAGTTAATAAAAAAAAATATAAAACACGAACACGATATGACACTATTCGTTATACACGAATTAATAAACGAATCAAATATAAATAAAATATTTTTTTGACATAAATCCGTTTTATCTAGCACGATCAACTTGTTTAATTATGACCACTTTCTAGAATCAAAGAGTAAACGAGTAAATACTTTGATAAAATTGTTATATAACATCATTCTCTGACTTGTGACATTATCATACAATAATCAAGGCCGACCCAATAGAAAGGCTACTTAAGCAACTGTTTAGGTCCCAAAAAAAAGAGGGTCTCCAAATAATAAATATAATCTTTAACTGTAATTTAAATTGGCCCAAAAATTTTGGTTTAAAGGGCTCAATCTAATGAAAATTCTTACGGGGCATAGACTAAAACAAAGGTCCAATTCACATTTCTCTCTCACTTTTATCAGCGGTTAAAAGACTTGAAAGTTCTAAAAAAGACAAAAATTATTTTTTCACAATTAAAGCCTAAAAGTTTACTCTCTCTCTCCCTCCCTCCCCCCCCCTAAAAAAAAAATTCATATAGCATAATTATGTATCTCTCTCTTGCAACCTAGATTAAATTGAAAATATACATATTTATTTGATTAGTAATTTATTTTTTTAATATTTTTATTGATAGGATTAATTTAATGCAATTATTCTTTTTTATTGTGAAAGTTTGAAATAATAGATGATTTGAGATGTGAACAAATCGTCAATTCAAAACTTATACAATTTTTATTTATCGGATGATATTGTGTTTAATTCTTATTGACTTTTATAAAATTTTAGATTGTTCTCTTAATATAATTATTTGCTATTTTAAAATAAATTTTATTTTCGAGAATTTTTAGTTTGAAATATGTCGAGTTTTTTTAAAATTAAAACTCATAAAATTCTACTTACGATCAACTATACCACAAGAAAGATTTAATTGATTAGTCATATTATCCATTGAAAAAATATACTAGCAAAACTCAAATATAAAAATTTGATTACTAATTTTGCATCACAAAAAATGAAAAAAAAAATAAAATTTTAATCATACAATTTTTTTTTTTTTTTGATAAATTTTGATGGGTCCTCAATTAACACTTTCACTTGGGGGCCAGTTTTTATTCGGCCGGGCTGGAAAATAATAAATTAATAAACAGCTAAAGTGAGGCCTACATCATAACTGCCACATCAACATGATCTAGTAAACATCACTAGTGCATATGTGAGGTTCAGTAGTTTATGTATTACTGGGTGGTGATACATACCCATTTTATTCAATATTTACTCCACTGTCAGAGATCTAGAATATCAAAGAAATGTTCTTGTGAAGGAGGTAATTGGTAACAACTCATGGTCATATTCCATTGGACTCCATCCAGAATAAGACCCCACCCTCCCTTGGTTTACACACACAAAACATCATATCATTACAATTAGTCCACTAACCATGCCTGGTAGAAGATTTAGCTAAGAAATCAGAAGGCAATCTAAACTCCAGATGATAAGGACTTTTAGACTTTTGATAGCTCACTGCAGGAAAAGAGGGTTTTTGATTCAGCTCTTTGCCAGAACAAAAAATCTTAGTCCAATGCAAAAAGTTAGATTCAGTCTATTGTCGAAGCAAAAACACATTAACATCGATAAAAAAACCAAAATTTTTTGAGGCCATTGGCGGCATTCCTGAGGCTATTGCTTTTGGTAACATTTACTAATTTGGAATTTAATTTGAAAGTCATACTTTGATTAGGACGTTTTTTAGATACCGCTAATAACCAAGGAATGACAAGTATTTTTTCTTGTACGGATCCAATTTCAATAGGAATTTGATGAGTCAATCCACCTATATACGTCTTATTTTTATTGCTATATTAAGAATTACTCCATGTATATTTGATGTAAAACAGATAGTGAATTTGTTTATGTCTTTTGTTAAATCTTTTTCACGGCTTGATTGACAATTTGATAAGCCAATGGATTTTACCCATTTTTTGAAATATGGTTAACTAACATGTTAACTAATTAATTATAAAAAATTGGATCAAATTTTACAATTTTTTCTTGTATAGTATCTCGATGTGACGTGAGAGAGAAAGGTGTTCAAAAATCAGTTTTCTTTAAGAGAATCTCAATTGCCAGATGATTATAATGTCAAGGGCATCAAATGCTACTACAATTCTAATATATACTACAGATAAGCGAGATGGTGTATTTGGTGTAATAGTAAGATTATTTTATTATAATTTAAACGTCAAAAGTTTGAAACACTTACGTATATTTGACCCTTTTTAAAAAGCAGCAGCTCGTGCAATTACAATATTGTCACCGTTGAACTCTAGAGTGATGATCTTTCAAACCTCTCAAATTGGTTAAATTACAATATTGTCACCATTGAACTACTATATATGAGATATATAATTTCTTAGCTGTTCATATCTTTGGAGGGAAAACTAATGGGAAAATTGGGCTATGGATGGTACCCATTGATCCAAAACATGCAGTCCAACGGTATTTTTCCTTTTGGCTGCAGTTGTTCAGATTTGTGCCGACTACTTCCTCGAGCTCAACGGTTGTTATTGTGGCTTGAGCTGAATTAAAACATGTCTAAAGAATAAAGGTAACTAGCGTTTAAAGAGTGTGAGAATAGATTGAATATAAGATATTTGAGTTATCAAAAATCAATCTCAACTATTGAATTAACCCTAAGAATTCATTTATGAGAAATGGGAGAACAAAATATCACTGAAAAAGTTAAGAGATCCATCCAGGAGATGATACAAAAGAATTCATTTATAAGCCCAAATTACAGGCAATTACATTGAATTGAAGCAGAGACAAAGCTTAATCTCTAATGGCTTCCAATCTCATTGCTTATTCTTTCAACAATTAGAGAAACACATAATAATGTCTCTCTTGTACACAACTCCTTCTCCATATATCCAACTGCCACAGCTTAAGTTTGGTAACTCCAAAGTCAAAGGAAAAGCATAGAGCGGTCCGTGGCGAAAAGGCTTGAAGTAACAAACTCTGTCACCCCCCCCCCCCCCCCCCCCCCCCCCATTACAGGCATTGATGCACCCATCTTTACACGACTCACGTAGTTGCTCTTATATGTCTGTCCCAAAACTCCATTAACTTGATCACTCATACAGAAGAATTTGAAGCCGAGCAGGGGCGGAGCTATGTAATCAGGCATGGGGGCAATTGCCCCCACTGAACTTTTGATCAGCTCTAAGTATGACATATTAAGGACTTAGCTTTATTTAAATTTAATACACTTGCTCCCCCTAACTGTTTGAGAATTAATAGTGATCAAAGTCCTTTTTTTTCATTTTTTTTTTAAACAACAAGTAGTTCACTGTCTCAATGCCCGCTTGAAACAAATGTTTTATTTTTGAATTGAGGAAAATAAATGTGAAGTTATCCCTGACATTTTTTCTTTTAGTAAGTAATTAAAAATAATCACTTATAACCTATTTTTGAGATGTAAAAGTTATTTATAGATCATATTTTAAAAGAAATTTTATTTTGTAGTTTCATATAATAAATTAGTCTTGATTCTAAAACACTTTGTCTTGCTTGAACTTGAAATTTTTTTTATCAATTAGTGAATTTTTTTAGTCATTTTTTTGCCCCCTCTAAGAGAGGATCCTGGCTCCCCCTGAAGCCGAGGTCAAGATGAGCAAAGAAGTCGTGTTTTTGGTAATACCATAGTTGTGCACTTGGGACTCTTCTTCTGTAATAGGCACCACGTTGGCTGTGATCTTGAACAACCCTGCAACTTCAACAATGACACTGTTTGTGTCACTGACCCTAGTAAAAGAAGCCATTCGTGCAGTTCCAGATTGCCATCTTGCACCTTCTGTGTCTGGTAGGAGTATGAACTCTCCATTGAATGCGAGGGAGAGACTGTCGACTGTGTCATCCCAAGTTGCTGTTTTCTGTGCTCCGATGAAATGTTTGTGGTGATCGAAGAGGATACCGATGGATTGTACCCAAGTGAAGTCTCTCTTCATGTCTTGTTTTCGCCTTCCAATGAAGTGAGCATTGATGTGGAGGTTTGGGTCTGAGACAAGGCAAAAGTCTTGGTCCTTTTTGCCATGGAAATAGAAGGTTATGCCATCCCCACCTATGAAACGAGGATCTTGGCACACTGCTCCTGACATATCACACTCTGTATATCACAAAATAAGCAACACAATTTTTCGACAAAAAGACGAGGGTGATGATAAGAAAATGGTTAATATTATTTTGAGTAAATTACGTATATGACCCTTAAATTATGTCATTTGTGTCAATTAAGTTTAAGAACTTTTTTGTGTCAATTGAGCCTTTAAATTCTCTAATTGTATCAATTGAGCCCTTCTGTCGACCTTCGTTAAAATATGTCACTCACGTGACTATATAACACAAAAAGATAAAATGACTTAATTGACACAGTTAGAGAATTTAGGGGCTCAACTGACCAAAAAAAAAAATTAAGAGCTTAATTGATACAAAGATCATAGTTTAAGGGTCATATGTATGGATTCTCCAACTAGTTGTGTCATGTGAGTGGCACATTTTGTCACTTTCTGTTAAAAAATCTAACGAAAAGGCAAAAGAGCTCAATTGACACACAAAAAAAGTTTAAGAACTTAATTGACACAAAGATCAGAGTTTGAGGGTTGTATATATAATTTACTCTAGTATTTTTTTATCTCTAAAGTATGTATTTTTTTTATTAATTTAGTCATCATTATATCAATTTTATCAATTTGGTCTCTAAAGTATTTAATTCGTATCATTTTGATCCATATATAGACAAACTGTTAATTTTTTTTACGAAATGATCACGTGTTGAGTATGTGATACCGTCTGAAAAAATGACACATAATTACTTCTATAAAAAAAAACTTTATAGATTTTCTGATTAGGAACCAAAGTGATACAAATTGAATACTTAGGGGTCAAATTGATGAAGGACTAAATTGACAAAAATACGTACTTTTAAGGACCAAAAGTACTATTAAGCCTTAAAACAATGTCAAATTCACATATTTAAGTTGATTTTCGTAGATTGACTTGGGAAAATAAATATATATCTGAGTGATGTGTGTGAAATTGTAGATGTGTATTTAAGATCATGAGACTTACTACAGACAGGCCTACAAGTTACATAATCAACTTCACATCCACCAAGACAAAAGCAGAGCACACATGCTTCACAGCATAACATTGGGTGTATTTCTTATTCTTGCACTTTGCTTTTTTGGTGAGGTAGAAGGACTTGATGATGGAGGAGACCAAGAAGGTGGTGGTGTGGGTGAGGAGGTTGTTGGAGGAGAAGGTGGTGATGGTGGTAAAAGGGGTGAAGTCGGATTAGATGGAGATGGTGTAGAAGAAGGAGATCCAGGAGATTCTGGCTCAGGAGGGTTATTGGGATTGGATGGTGGTAAGGGAAATGTTGGAGGTGAAGGTGAAGATGGTGGTGGTGAAGGAGAAGTTGAAATAGATGTGGTGGAGGAGAAGTAATGGGAGGATTGGGAATTTTTGGAGTAGGGGGAGGAGAATATGGTGGTGATAATGGAGGAGATGGAGGTGGAGTAGTTGTAGGAAGTGGCAAAGTTGGGGTGATGGTAGGAGGTGGAGAAGATAATGGTAATGGTGGTGGTGTAGATTCAAGTGAAGATTCAGAATTTGGTAGTGGAGATTTATCTCTAGAATCTTTTGGTGGAGATTTAGAATCTTGATCAGGTCGTGATTTATCTCTCGAATCTTCATGTGGAGATTCAAAACCTCGTGGTGGAGATAGAGATTTATCTCCAGAATCTTCGACTGGAGATTCAAAATTTGATGGAGGAGATTTATATTTAGAATCTTCAGGTGGTGATTCAAAACCTCGTGGTGGAGATAAAAATTTTGTTGGATTGTTGTTTCTAGTGTTCCAAAATTATAAAATCACTTATTGAAATTTCTGATTTGAAACTTGTTATGTATAACAAAATAGTAAGAAAAGAGTTACAAAAGTCTTACGAAACAGTAACAGTAAACAGTTACACGTAACTGTTTGTCAAACCAACATAATACTAACCCGGTTGCAGAACAGAAACTATTATTGAAGTTGATGTAGATCAAAGTTAGTGTTTGACATTATGTCCTTGAGACAAATTTCGCCCCCACACGCGGTACTTATGAAATATCAAGCGTCTGTCTCCTAGGATACAATGATCGTTACACGAGCAGATGTAGCACTCTAATCTACTCATCCAGTGAACCAAACTTGTGTTGTGTACTCTCCAAATGCAGACTTCTTAATCCCGATAATGCTATGCATTAATGTCTGACTTAACTCTGATGAATGACTAATACTGATAATTGTAATAGATGAAAAATGGTAATAATCCTGGGTATTTATAGACACTTTGGTGACTTTCGGACAGCCACCACAATAAAAGACACAACCCAGAATAACAAGACACAACAACCAGTAAACACCTTGAGTAATTGTTCTCCAAGAACATACACATCTTTAAAGTTTCAGACTGGACTCAAAATTTCAAATCGGATGGATGCCCAAATTCGAACCGGTGCGATTTAAAGGATACCGAAAATTAAATTTCGGGTTAAAAAATTCTCGCTCAATTAATTAAACTAATTTTTTCCAAAAATATAGGGCTTAGTCTAAATCAATCCCGTACCCAACCCGGCCGGGTCGTGGGCAAGACAAGGCGGAGGTGCTCGCACTCATATGTGGTTGAACTGAAGGCATGTAGGCGCTCGCTCCGCTTATAAAATTGTGGTACCCCTTGGACTTAATCCCATAGAACAAACTTGACCTATATATGCTCATGTTGAATTTCTTCCTCAATTAATGTGGGATTGATGTCAAATCCCACATTGCACATCCTTTATTTTCATATTTCAAGAGGGTCACTTTGGAGCCTATTTTCTCATTCATTTATTACTCGATTTGAACAAGTGAATATACTACATTATTCTCCTCACGAAGTAGAATATGAACCCACAAAACTTCATTCGAAATAATCAACGGGTCCCACTTTAATTTAGGCTCAAAGTCGACCAAAAATTCTTTTTTTACACTTAAAAAATTGATTTTGGTCTAACAAATTTATCTCCAGAATCTTCAGGTGGAGAATCAGAACCTCGTGGTGGAGATAGAGATTTATCTCCAGGATCTTTGGGTGGAGATTTAGAATTTGATGGAGAAGACTTATCTTTAGAATCTTCAAGTAGAGATTTAGAATCTAACTGTAGAGTTGTCGAGCCAATACACATAGGTTTGCAAGACACACACTCGGCTGTGCACTCATTAGGACATAACATTGGGCATACATGGTCAAGATTGTAACAATGCTTGTATTTCTTTATCATGCATCTTACATGACTAGGGTTGTTAGCAATTCCTGGTGGAGTTGCCCCTGCAAATGCTATTAACATCAACAAGACAATCCACACAATGTGGTGAGTCATGGATTGAGCCATTGAAGCCTAGTTTTTTGAGTTTCTACTTGAACCAGTGAGACTTTCATCAGCAATAGCTCCTTTTATAGGATAGGAAAAGCCATGCATGAACCCCCATGAAGCCTATTATTTAGGATCATACCATGTTGATTGAAAATATGTTGCTTCATATCTCAGCCTTCACATGGTTTCTTTTTCAGTCATTTTAAGTCCCTTTCATGTAATCTCTTATCATCCCACTTTTGGTAATGTTGCTTTTAACCTGAACATGGCATCACTTGACCATGAAGTCAAAAAGATAACACTTTCAGCAAATGTTACTTTGCTCAAGAACCCTTTTTAATATCAAATAGAGAAAAATTCCGGCTAAGTACATATCTTTCAAACTACTACATAACCTCGGAGTTTATGCAATCAACCACATGCATTGGATCAACCAGGATGTTTTTTCTAAGACTCAGACTAGAAAAGTTAAGGTATTAACAACTGAAGTTCTGTCATCCGAGCTACTCTCAAGTAGTCAATTTATCATATATTTCGCTAACTTTGGATTACCGTGTTTTTATCCTTTAAATTTAAGGTTTTTCAATTCTTCCTAATTTCTATTATTTACCCTTAAATAATTGAGCCTCACCTATGAATCTTACCATAATATTGGGTGATGTAAACTAGATTTGGAAGAAGAAAAAAAAATTATATTTCTTCCATACTTGTATTATTGTTTATGGAGTCTTGGTCATCCTACCCTTCATATTGCTTCTTATTTAACGTTCTGTTGCTTTTAAATGAAAATGGCATCACTTGACCATGAAGTCAAAGAGGACACTTTCAGCAAATGTTGCTTTGCTACAACTAATCCATTTTAACATATCCTTAACTTTGTAATAGAAAATGCTATTTGGACATAATTTGCGGACTTAATCTTGGGACCTAATTCAATACAACCATTGAATTGGTTGTGGGCTCTAACTAACATTAGAACTCACAACTAATCCAAGAATTGTATTGAAATTGCATCATTAAGACCCCAAATTAAGTCCCAAAATAAGGTCCTTATAGCATTGCTCCTTTGTAAATTAGGCAGACAAAACTTCTTTTGCTTATGGGAATGTGAGCCCATGTATACACTTCCAGAGAAAGAGTTATACTATTAGGACCTAATTAAGGTACTTAATCCGAGAATCTAATGCATTGTGGTCAATAAATCAACCCCGAGTCTAAATATTAAATAAACTCTACTATCCCTAAGTCTAAATATTAAATAAACTCTACTATCCACCAATGATTAAGAGGCTAATGGTCCCAAAGTTAGATTTTCAAGTGAGTAATGTTATGTTGCTCAAATCAAAATCCAATTTTTTTCATCAAAAATGCATTCGTAGTTCAAATTGAATGAAAAAGTAGATTTTTTCGGACCCACAAAGTGATATGTGAGGTGCAAATGCATTCGGACGAAAGATTTGAGTTTTGATTCGAAGAGCATAGGAACTAGCACTAATTCTGGAAAAAAGTAAATGATTCCAAGGATAAATGAGATATTTTTTTAAAAAAATGTGGCTTGTGGAGAAAATCTGTAAAGGACCCTTTCCTTCTCTCATTAGTCTGTTTTAGTTTTATCTTATTGAGATGGTCATGGTACAGCTAGCTTTCATATCAATCTGGGAAATGCTCATTGTATTAATGGTCTGCCCTTAGCATGTGTACATTAATTGCACTGTGACATTCCTTTTGATGCAGGGAATGATTCTCTGTTATAATCATGTTGATATGGATATCTTGTATTCCGTTAAGTCTATAATTAGTCCGTAATTAAAACGTTTTAGATTTAAATTTTTAATTTCACGAGTCTTAGTCCATGAAACGGATCAATGTTCGTTTGCAATGTCATTATTAAATTCCCATGCTTTTTGTCAGCTCTAATATTGTTCACTAGACTCATACAGATGATACAACTTGGAACATTCATGTAAGTCATGAGAAACACTTGGTACAAGCAGCCATGGTCTCATCTCTTCATCGTTTTTAGTGAAGTAACCTTGTATCAACTAACTTGACTCACAGCCTCACCTCGCCACCATTATTTCCCTGTGAAAATTTTGCAAAAATATGCATAAGAAGGTCAGAGAAGGAATGAAAACCATCATCTTATGCAATTCATGGCTGATAAGATGAAAAGATTAGAAAAAAACAGTATGAGCGAGTGTTGTGGATGTCTCATCTCGTATTTTGTTCATATTCGTACTCACTTTGACAAAAAACACACTAGGTTTTTATTGTGAAACTTCCCGAGTCTTAGTCCATGGAGCGAATGGCTAGGCCGATAGACCTAGAGCCAATGGACAAATCACCTAGGGGGTCCAGAGGTAATGCCCTGGAGGCAAACCACCAGTGAATTTTTGTCACTGTGCTTTGTCCGTAGACTTTCTATTCGAGTCTTGTAATATAAAGTGTTGTATTTTTCTATTTCATTTGAGTGTTAGTTTAAAGCCTCGTACATAACAGTGTGTAAACAAGCATTATGGTTGTTGAACCGAAATAGCCTAGGATTTTAATCAAGAAAACTTACAATATAAAGGTAAACAAGTAGCTTATCACTTGACAAGGATGCATCTTATAGGCGATCCATCACTGTGAAGCAATCTTAGAGGTAAGCAATGGATGTTATATGATCCTGCTTCAATGTCGTCCAGTTTGAGGCCTTCCACAACGATGATTTTCTGTGGCGTTTCAGCAGTGTTAGTACTGATACGATAGACCCTAATTGAAAATTACTCTATTTTGATACATTGCTACTGAAATCATAATAAGATTCTACCTTTTCTTGTAGGAGAGCACGATGAGCAGGAAGTATACTATCAAAGGCAGCAGCAGATAAGTAGTCAACTCCTAACAAACAAATGCATCAACGCAACCATTAGTTTTGCATCATAACAGCACAGATAAGTATATATTAACAATCAAAATTTTATATACAATCTCATACATAGTGCAGAGTGATTTTTGGAACCCAAATGGAATATAGAAGACTCGATTAAGAAAATTTAGTCCAATTCACCACTTTATACTCTCATAGCACGAGAACGAAACAATTCCAAGTCTGAAAGTATTACTGCATTGTACATTTGGAAATTAGCTGAGGAATAAAAGATTTGAGTATTTGTTCTTACCAACGAGTCGGATTTGAGTGTTATTGGCTAGCCATTGTGCTCCGTCTTCCTTAAATCCCACATAGTCGAAAGCAAACTCCTTGTTCCACATAAGGCGCCTGAAAATGAAATAAGTCTTTGCTCAGTCCTCATATTCTAACTACTGTGAAGATTCAGAAAACTTTTGTTCACCTCGAATGTATGTTAATTTAGATGCAAATAAGCAGTACAACTAAGGGTGCAAGTTGGGCGGGCCAACCCGAATTCAACCCGAGCCCAACCTAAAAAAAACAGGGTTTAAGTTAGAATTTTTAATACTTGAGTTGAACTTGGGTAAAAAAATTCTAATTCGAATTGAATTTGGGCAAGTATCGAGTGGAGGCCTAAGGTTGTCAGGTTGAACCCGAATATTAAAATCGGGTTGAACCCAAATATACATAAATATATAAATATATTTAATTAGCATTAGTATCTATCTTCACTCTTTAGAGTCCAGACTTTTACTTCACTTCAAGTCTTCACCCCTGCACCTCCATCACTCTTAGATCCCTCTCTCACTCGTCATTCCTCACTCTCTCAACCTCCCTTTCTCAATCGTCACTTGTTTGAGTCGTCTTAGACTCTTAGCCTCCCTTTCTCACTCGTTACTCCTCCCTCTCTCACTCCATCTGCGTATCGCCCTTCATCTCATATCACTTGAAAAAATTAGGTCTACACTTAAAAAAATTAAATTTACACTTCAAAAGATAACCTGAATTAAGTAACCAACCCGATTTTTAACCTGAAATCAGTCCGAATTAAGGAACCTGAATTTAACCCTCGCCCGCCTGAATTAAATTTGGGTAATACTCGGATTAAGGTAGGGTTAAGATTAGAATTAGGGTTGAAAATTATATGTTTAAGGTTGGGCTAGAGTTGATCTCTCAACCCGCCCAACTCGCCCGAATTGCACCCCCAAATACAACTAATAACCATTGAATAGTAGAAAAATTTGGAAGAATTGTGACTTTGAAGAGTGGTAAGTAATAGATAATAGGCAAGTAAGAACAATGACTTTGAAATTTATAAATTTATTATCAGAAAGTGTCGTAGTTTTAGTAATTTTGTTGTGAAATTGTCGTAAGCTGGTAAATAATTCAAATTACCTGCGGGTGTTCAATGTTCTGAAAAGCACACGTTTCACTCCATTGGGAATATTTAAGGACTCCATAACTTCAGCTGCAACAATGTGACGAAATCACAATCTTATTCATTAAGTGGGCAAATTTCAATAATGATTTTAAATAAACTCATCCATAAGTCACCAACATCTTCCTTAAAATCATTCACATTATACAGAAACTTTAAACAGAGTTATGGTAGGAGTTTCAATTGAAAAGAAACGATATGTTTCAATTTATATTTGTAAAATTTACCAGTAATATTGCTGTCCTGGGGAACATCAACTAACAATGCTGGACCTGTGACGAGATTCAAACATACGATTTTAAAATTTGAGAATGATAGCAAGCAGGCCAACCACTAACCTGCAATCTAAGAACACACATATTTTACCCAGAACTAAGTACATACAAGCACTGTGATTAACGATTTACCATTGAGAACGGAGAGGTCGAGTGTATCGACGTCGAAGCCTTCTTCGTAATACTCCTCGAAGACATGTCCCGGCGAGTCAACGTGCGTGCCGGTGTGAACGGCGAGCTTCATTATCGAATTGTTTGTCTGCGAGTGGTTCTTCATGCTGTACTGAAGCATGCAAAAATCGGTACCCAAACCATCTGTGGAGCCCCAAACAGGCAAATCGGGTCGTAACTGGTGCGTAATATCATATATTCGTCCGAATTGGTAGAATTCTCTGTGTATAGCCTTGCTCGGGTCGGAGGTGCCGTCGTCTTCACCGCCATACGACGGAGGGTATGCCCCGCAGTCGGTGTTCATGGTGGCTGCGACGGAAATGTTTGGCAGGAGGTCCAACGCGTGCGCAACGGCACATGTTAGCAGGAGCAAGAGGCATTTCATGGCTGCGAAGTCGGAGTGTTTCGGTGAGACAGTCGCGGGAAATTTGAAACGGAACGGAGGTGAGCGTTTTTGAGAGTTGATAACTTGATCAAGATATATGAAGGAGGAGAGTGGGTTTCAGGCGCTACCGCGGCGCGTGGGTCGTTGTTGGGGTTAGAAGACGACAGAATCGTTCTTCGGGATGCGCTGTAAGATGCAGAAGAATAGGGAAATTACTGTGCGACCCCGTGAGACTCTGTCACGGTGTCACCTCTGAGCTGTGTCGATAATTGAAAGTAATATAGATTATGGTTTTTTGAGAAAATTTATAATATAAAATTAGATAAATTTTAATAAATTTATTTGAGGATTTCAAATAAATTTATCTAACGATTATCAATATTCTTCTAAAAAATTTAATATCTAATTACACTATATTTTCAGACACAAATTACCTTAGTATTAGTATAATAATAATTATAAAATGGGAATAAATTAAGTCATGTTAAAATAATTGTAGATTTAATTGGAAATAATAAAAGGATTTAATGTAACTGGAAATAATAAATAGATAGAACTATAAATAGACATAATGAACCTATTTTGGGAATAACTTTTAGAAAAGGTATTTTGGGAGTTATTTTTAGAAAAGGTATTATTTTTGAAAAACAAAATCCTATTTTGGGAATTACTTTTAGAAAGGATAATATTTTGGGAAAAAGTACCCTTATTTAATGGGTAGCATCTAGCTTGCATGTGCTCCCCTAGATTCTGAGTATCAATACAGAGCTGAATGGCTAATATGGATATGGACAAGTCTATATATATACTTATTATTTTTGTACGTATTTTTATAATTTTATGGGTGTTAGAATGAATAGTAAGTAATATTGGTAAAAATAATTATCACAATAGTAATAAAAATATTCATAAAAAATAATAAAATACTCAAAAACATAAAACATTTTTTTGTTGTAAAAACATCCATTAAAATAGTAAAATTTATACACCAAATTGTTTTTAGTATTGCTCGTGTCTATAGGTACGAAGTAATAAAAAAAATTATCAATCATAAAAATATTTTTATTTACTCTAAAAATCAAATCACAAATATAAAAGAGATAATAATTTAAGTATCAATTGTAATTGAGGTGAGCAGTGGTATTGGTGATGGGCAACAGTGCTGTTAGTAGGAGACAGTGATTGTTGTGGTGGGCGATAGTATTGGTGGTAATGGATTTTAGGTGGCGATGGTGGTAATGACAACTATGGATGACGATAGTGGAGGCGGTGGGTGGCGACAATCATGGTAGCGGTGGTGGCAATTATGGATGGTAACAATATTGGTGGTAATAGATTTTAGGTAACGATAGTGGTAGTAACAACCATAGATAACGGTAATAGAGGTGGGGGGTGACAGTGATGGTGGTGGAGCGACGATATTTGTTGTGACGATGGTGGGTTGTGATGGTAGGCGATGACAATGACAGTGGTGGGTGCGAGTGGTGGTGGGCGATAATGGTGGTAGGTGGTGGCAAATGGCGATGGTAATGGTAGGTGTGGCGGGGGTGGATGACAATAGGTGGCGGCGGTGGTGGGTGATGATGGTTGTGGGTGTGGTGGTGATGGCAATGACGCACGGCGATAGATGGTGGTGGTAGGTGTGGTGGGTGACAGTGAGTGGCGGCAGTGATGTGTGACGAAATGGGGTGATGGGTTATAGTAGTGGGTGGCTGTGGGTGGTGGTTGGCAACGATGATGGTGGTAGTAGTAATAAAAATAAAAATAAGAATGATAATGGTTAGGGGTATTCAAATTTTCAATTGACCGCAATATCCTACCCTACTGAACGGCTAGTTGCAAAAATCGGGTAGGAATGAGAAAAAATTTTTAGTCTTCTGATTAAATGGGGTAGGAATGCAGGATACCCATCAATTTTCGCATTCCTACCCTACTTGCAAAAAATATATTTAATTTTTTTATATTTTTTTAATAATTATAAGAGTATTTGTGTGGTATAATTTATATTATAACATTGTTATTGTTGTGGATATTTGAGTTGATAAAACAAAGACTTGTTTTTTGTGGAGGTTATATGATTTGTGGTGAACTGGTGATCTATTGGAGCAGTTATAATTTTAATGTATTTCATATTATTTAAACTTAAAATAATTGTTATTATATTTGTGTAACAATTATGATGGATTGATCATTTCTTGTATTTTATTGTAATTATTGTTGTAGTTGTGTTTAGGTTTTTAGTGTTATTAATTTATTGTGTTGTTAAATTGGTGCATGTTATTTAATTGAATTATTAAAATAATTCAAAAATTAATAACTACAAAAGTGTTTACTCAACTTCCGATCCGATTAATCGGATAAGAAGTCGGGTAGGAATACCACACCTGATCGGGTAAGGTAGGTCAAAAAAAAATTCCTACGCAAAGTATCGGTTAAAAAAACGAAAGATTATATTTCTTACTCGTAGGGTACGGTGAACACCTCTAATGATGGTAGTGAGTAATGGTGGGTGGTGGTATGGGCGACGATGATAGAAATTAGTGGTGAGTGACGCTGGTGGTGATTGTACCAAAGAAATTGATACACTCAATTCAAATCCAAATGATCATAGTTGTTAACTTTTAGCCAAAAAAAAAAGAAGTAATAATAACATAACTCTAATTATAGTGCTAAGAAAATTAAAAAAAAATTGGCAAAAACTATCGAAATTGTTTATGCGTTATCTCTCAAAATAGTTATGACAAAATTTCTCATTTTCTTTAAAGTTGTCCACTCAATGTACTAGCTAAACGCTAATAGAATCAAAAACGAATTGACGAAAGATTAAAGATAAAAGATTAAAGAGAGAAAAAAGAGTAAGGGGACACTGAAAGAAAAAAATTATGAGAAAATAATGTTTACAATCATGTATAGTTGTGCAAATATCTTATTGGGTTTGCACAATGGATCAGTTCTGTTTAATAAGAATGCGTTGTGTTTATCTATGTTCATGTCGAATCATTTAGTTGGGAGATCTAATGGGTCTATTCGTTATCATCCAAATCTATTAAGATTAAACCACCCTAATTCTGAGTTAATTTTGTAATATGTTCATAAGTCACATTAAAATTATTAGCATTATAATATTTAATTAAAATTATCCAAATAAAGAAAATTGAATGGCACTAACCTATAGAGATCGAATGTGAACCAAAATAAATGCACATCCGTTGGAATTTTAATTAAATGTTTGTTCCATTTGGAATCATTAGATATAAAAGTGAGGACATATATGATTAGGATCACTTTTTATTTTTGAGTCAAATTTTACTGAAGTGAGAACAAATCTGTATTTTTTATGTTTCATTTTAGGCCTATAGTCCCCAAATACGTAGAGCCAACACATGGACCCCAATCAACTTGTAAGTTTACTATATTTGTAGAAATCCACATTTAAAATATATAAATACTCCTAATTTTTTTTACAATATTTCAATGGAGGCATGATCCTAAAATTTTGAAAATGCTAAATATATCCTAATTTTTTTCAAAATTGCAGTGGGGGCAGTTGCCCCTACTGTGGCTCTGCCCCTGGTGGCGATGGTGGTGGTGGTGGTGGTGGTGTTTATAATAAATCATTTGATAAATAAGTTTACCATGTAAACTTGTTTATGACCTGATCACACGAAGGACACACACCAGCAAACAGTCTGCCTTTTGATATCGAGTTGATTGATCATATTAAGAACCACAAAAATTGAGAATATACTCAGTGACGTCTGAGTTTAAAATTCATTTTTTTAACTATTTGAGCTACCTATTGCGATTTATGTCTGATCACATAAGCAGACAATAGACTATGTAATTAATTACAATTGTACAGAACAGGCACTGGTTACAAATTTGTCTGTCGAGTAGGCCCTTGTGAGTTGTGAGGAGTTATTCCGCACTGAAAACCTCATGGGGCCATTAGTTCCCTGCAGCAATTTCGCAAGTGTGCATGAATGGATGAGATTAGCAATGAAACATATCGTTCCATCCCAAGCAAGACTGGATACTATCCAGAATAATATGTAAAGCCAGATGCAAGCATGATGCAATTTACTCACGGGTTGTAATGATCCATATGCATGACCCGATCCATATGCACGACCCGATACACGACTCATACCTAATACGATACAAGATGTTTGGTAAATAGGGTGAGTTGATATCCAATACAAATAACCCATTTTAAACGCCTGTTTAACTCATATTGTAAGAAGAAGTTCGATTTTTTTTATATTTAGATTTCATTTCTTGAGATAATATTGTATGAATTGCTTTATAATTGAATGGTTTTCTATATGGTTTTGCAAAGATGTGGGTCAAACCTATGTGTGACAAATTTCGTTCTACTAGTCCTATGGTTTTTAGCTCCGGATAACGTAGATCCAAAATAACCCAACACAACAAAACTCAATTGACACACTTAATTTTACTCCAAAATAGTATGCCACGAGTGCAAACATGAAGCTCATGACAAATATATCATAAGATGAACGTCTGGTTTTGAAATTTTATTCCAAATATGCTGCCAAGAAAATTAGAACAAAAGTGTGACTTCTGCTCACATATATATCACTAAAAAAAGGCATACTCAGTGTACAAGACTCCCGCCATTGCTGCTCTAGAGAAGATTAAATGCACACAGTCTTACCCTGTAAACAGAAACTATTTCTGCGACTCAAATCCGTGATCTCCAGTTCACAATGAAACAACATTACCATTGCGCTAAGACCCGCAACTTAGTGGCAATATCACTTGATGAGGATGCATCTTATGGGTGATCCCTCAGCACCAACCAACCTTAGAGGTAAGCAATGGACAGTGTATATTCCTGCTTGGATGTCATCAAGTTTCAGCCCTTCCACAAGAATGATTTCCTAAGACATTTCAGCAGTGTTACATTACACCCCATAAACAACAAATTCTTCTATATCCAAAACAAGTAGAACAAAAAAGTTCCGCACCACAAACTCAAGGTTTCAATGCAAAAATCTCAAATGCACGCAATTAACCATATCGGTTTCACCCGGGTTTTATGCGGCCAAGGAGAGACTACGGATTTATGCCTCGCCCCTTATCCTCAATATAGTTGCAAAAAGCAAAACGTAGGAAATTCATAATTAATCTATGAGATTTTCTTACCCTGCCTTCTAGAAAGACGAGATGGGAAGAGATCAAATCATCATCCGCAGCCACAGATAAGTAATCAATTCCTACAGTGAAGAACAAATGTATCAATTTTAACCATGAAACACAGGCACATCAATATCGATGTTAAATCGACACAATGAAGTCAAATAATATTACCCTTCAATGAATTTAAAGCAACAAAGTGAGGCCAAGTTGATTGGAATTAACTCCCTAGCACCAACTCTTTTTTGTTTTTGATAAGTTTTCCCAGTAATATTATTCAAGAAATTACCTTGGTTCGATAGAGAGTCCATCTAAGTTGGTTTGCATCAGAAGTGGTGTTAAATGGCAAACTGTCGTAGCAATTTATAATCTGAAGAACTGGATTCTACCCCCCGCCCAAAAAAAAAAACCAATAGATGGAAAAATAATTATCATGTTTCTAGTTTTGCAGGATGGACATAAACAAATAAATGGTGTATTGTCAAACAAAACCAGTAAAGCTTCTACACTACATTGGACAAAACAATTCTCTTTTCATTTTTTTTTTTTATATAGGAAAAAATACTTTGTGTTATTTAAAAATAAAGAAAGGATTACGCATCCGAGCAAAATGTGGACAAGTTGTCCATCTTAATAAAATACAAAGTCAAAATAAAACTAACAAACACAATAGCAAAGTCAGGCCATCATCCTAGAAAGTCGTGCTATCTTCCGAATGAGGCCACCCAACTTGATGTAATACAAAAGGGAGGAACATCTTTGACTAAAGAGGCTAGGATTCAACTTTGGAAGAGATCAGAATGACAAAATATACGATGGGGCTTTTGCGAGAAATAGCGAAATTTTATACATGGATGTTTCTGTTATGTAATAAACACTTTGGAACATAGTTGTCAAATCGTGTATCGGAAGGTGTATCGTTTTTTAAAAATAGTGTATCGTATTATATCGTAACGTGTATCATAAGATACGCGTAATTTTAATTCTTAAATAATTATTAATAAAATATATGTATATACCTTTATAAAAAAGTTATAAACCCATAGTAATATAATATTTCATTAATATTCCACCAACTATTCAAGTTTTCAACATAGTTCAGTAATATCAAAATGCAAAGACCTCTAATTCAAACTTCTAGCATCAACTGCTTGAACAATTTTAATATTAATCAAGAATTTTGAATTCAACTGAACAATATTATCATTAGACTTTATTTATTTTTTTTAAACTATAACCACTGAAACGACGGTGTTTCTTTAGCTAGTGATTTAAAAATAAGTCTTACGGTAAAACAATGTCATTTTAACCCTAAAATATAAAAAAATAAAATAAAATCTTCATATATCGTTCGTATAGGACGTATCGTATCGTATCGTGTGTCGTACGATACGGTGCAAAAATGATAAAGAGACTCGATACGTATCGTTTTTCAGGTATATCGTGACGTATCGTATGATAAGTATCGCGTATCGTACGATGCTAATAACTATGCTTTTGAGTGCTAATGGATGGTGTGCCACGTCCACTTGGGTACTTTCCCCCTTCTTGAGATGTTACAGTATAAGCATTTTAGTTGCAAGAGAGTAAAGAGATGAGTAAAAGCAAATTGAAATTTTTTGTACTTGCAGCTATTTGTCAAATGCTAGTGAAAATTATATAAAAAGCACAAGAGATATTATGTTAGCCTAATGCACTTTTTCAGAAGCAGATATTGAAGGAATCACTAGACTGGAAGGCAGAAGCGCAACAGAGACACTCTTTCCTGGCAAGTGCTTGGTCAAATACTACACTCGGATTGAACATAAAGAATTGAGACACCATTGGCTGGATAAGAATTGGGCAAGCAAGAAAATGTCAAAAGTTTTTATTTTCTTCAGAAGATATCCAATATAAGAACCACTGAACCAAAAACGTTGAAAGGAACACATGAAAACAACAAATAGCAGAATCAACAGTGACAATGTGAATGAAAAGCTAGGTACCACCAATTCAATTGGGATGAGGTCCAAGAAATTTTACAGAGATGACCAATCCAATGCAAAAAAATTACAGTAATTGCACTAATTAGAAACAGTTCACTGAAAGCTAGGTAAGGAAAACAGTTATGCAAAGAAGAGTTGAGGTATCAATGATAAAGTCCACACTCAAATCCGAAGGGCAAAGCTAGCAACAAGGACGTGGTTGATGCTTCAGATATCATAAACGCGTTTGAGGAGCTTAACACAGCAAATAAGCAAGCATTTGGGTCACCTATGCTTTCAAACCAATAAACTGAACACAGATAGTATTTGCCTTACCAACAAGTTTGATGTTAGTGTTCTCCACCAGCCATTTTGCCCCATCCTTCATGAATCCCACATAGCTTGAGTCAAACTCTTTTTTATACATAAGGCCCCTGAAAAAAATGATAAGTTCAGCTCACATAAAACCTTCTCAAATAAAACTAAACTTAAAATTCGGCAAAATTCTCTAAACCTTAATGCAATGTGGATTTACATGCATTAGTTAGACCAGTAAATAGTAACAAATGGCGGAAGTGAGTAGGACCTCTCATCTTGAAGTATCACTATAATGGCACATTAATGGTAAGGCTGGTATTCAGGGCTTGACGAAATAATGGGGCAGTTATAAAGAGAATTTAGCATCCTTTGCTGAGCTGAACACAATCTTTGGTTGTCACCTAGATTGGCAACACCAATTATATAATACGAATGATCTACCATGAAAATTTATCATAAGAAAAACATATGATGCGACATCTAAAATTCAAAGCATGGGGAAGTGCAGTAAAGGTGAGCGTAAAAAGCCAAGTTGACATGACTCGAGACTCTAAAAATACAGATGATAAATTGCAAGATCTAAACATATAATCTTATGAGATAATGCTGACAATGAACCTGATAACATAATAAAACTAGTTCAAAGAAAGTATCATTGATTTTAAAGAGGAAGGAAAATATCTTAGATCTCGTGAAAGAGGTGGTAGAACTAGGTTGTATTGATTGATGCACTTTTTGACCAAAACTATGGTTGGTGATGGAAATATAGAAGATATGATTACATGATATAGCATACATGACCAATGTTGAGAACCAACCAATTGATGCATCATCCAACAAAGAGTCTGTTGAAGGAAATTTACAGCATGCTATAATACTTATTTATTTCCTGGAAAAGGGGGTTTTTAAGTGAACTGAAAGAAAGAAACTATCATGCCCCCAAGGACTAGACTTGCATCCTAAATTTTATGTAAATTTGGGGATAGTTGAATGATGCATGCACAGATTACACTGGACAGAAGCACTTCAAGGCAATTTGCAGAGTTCTACATAAACAAATTATGCACCATGAGAAGGAATCCCACATTTGGAAGTTCACCCTACAAGAAGAGGAATTGTTTACTGATGATGACTTGGCAGATTCTAAGTTTGAATTTGTTGTTCAAGCTCGAGTATTGTTCATCATTTGTTGGAGACATAGTTTTACCATGGAGAGAGTAAAGGTAAAGGCACTGAAATAGGCTAAACGAAGTGTGTGAACTATGAAAGAAACAATTACATGCAAGAATTAGGTTATACTCCTTGGATGTACCAAAATTTCTGTATTGTGACGGCTATAGATTGCCACCAACCAGGTCCAATGAAACCAAAATCCATCAAGGTTGTCTAACAATGGGATGTAGCAGTGAGAACATAAAACATGTAACACATTTATAGTTCACTCAAGTGCACTGGATACTTATCCACTAGTACAATGGAGATTAGGACTTGGGATTAAGCATTAGAAAAATGTTCATTTTACGATAAGTTGAGATTCAAGTTACATCAGTAATATCAGATTGAACTTCTAGACCTCCATTGATTATTCCCTTCTAGACTACTATTGAATTCAGATGACAAGTAACTTGAATCAATTAGGTAACTCCAGGAAAGGCTGGTGCTCCACACCAGTCAGTATTCCACAAGATTAAAATCATGAAAGAAGCATGATTACCCATGTTTCAATGACTCAACTCACCTGAGATAGTTAGGTATCAGTAGTACTGGTGTTGGCGGTGGTGGCAATTGTAGTACTTGGAGAAGTGTTTTTACCCAAGGTAGTTAAACATTCGATAGTAGTGGTGATGGTGGTGAAGGTAGCTTGTAAATTTCTTTTACAATAAGTGATACCAAATGTCAATGTAACAATTCCATACAAATCAATATCATTATATCACTGATGACCCTCACTAAATGCATTGAACATTAATCTCGTCTAAAACTGTAATTTAATCTAGGTCCATAACTAGGATTATCCTGAAATGTTAGATATATGGAATTACCTGTCAGTATTTAATGTTCTGAAAAGAACACGCTTCACTCCCTTGGGAATATTTAAGAACTTCATAACGTCAGCTGAAAGAAGTAGGCAATGCATGATTTAACTCATTAATATGAACTGGAAAATATAATATGCACCAGGAACTCCCAAGAGAAAGCCATAAGCAGCACCTATGTTTATATACAAAATGCTATTCCAAGGTGAATTGCTCTTGACCATGTTTTGAGTATGATGGTATGTATTACAATGACAGATTATTAAACCACATAAATATCAAACTGAATTGAGATTGGACTGTCTACCAAATCACCATTGTATTGTTGTTCTAGTTTAGTACCAAGCAATTGGGCAAAGCCCACTTTACGGCTTGAAATATTGTTAATTCAACATGGAAGCTAATCAAGTTAATCCACGTGGAAACCAGTTCAATGTGTGAAAAAAGATTTACAAATGGTACCTGTTATGTTCTTGTCCCTTGGAACATCAACTAACAATGCAGGACCTGTTAAAACAAACAAAAAAAATAGTAAGAATATACAAATGCATAAACAAAAAAAATCTAACTACTTTTCCCAAGTAATCAATTCGCGCTATGTGAAAAATCCCGATGCAGATCAAACAGAAGGGGAAAAACAAAGAGGAATTCTGATCTAAAGAAAGATGAGAAAACCAGAGCATCCAAGAAGAATGAACCCCTAAAAGTGCTAGAACCTGGTTTTCATAGGAACAAAGATCCCGTGAAATAATCCTTAAAATTCAATGCAAGAAACTGTGAGCTTTTGAAGACTCACCAATTTGTTCTAACCAATAAACCCATGCATTCAAAGAGTAGTTGCTCTTCAAACCGATAACACTCAATAGTCTGCGACATCTAGCTACCAGCCACAAAGAGGGCAAGGAAGCTGTTAAAAACCAATGACACACACAAATAGAGCTAACAACATGATCGCGACAGCCAGGGGGTAGAGAAACAACAAACAAAATAAGGATTCAGCATAAGACTTAAAATGGTATTTAAAAAGGAACTCATTAGAACTTCCCATCCCAATGAATCTAACCCCACAACTGATCATTCTATTCACTTGTGATGATTTAAAAGTTCAGGAAATAGCTAAGGCTCATCCCTGCACCTACAAATGCCAGGCGAATAACTTCTTTCACAATGATTCTTCTAAAATTCCCTGCTAAAAAGAGAAAGTCTGCTGCAACCCTCCCTCCTGCTGATCTAGGATACATCTTTAATATTTAACTTTCGCCGGGCGTTTCAATTCCATTCAAATGCTAAATTCTGAATGACCCTTACAAATAAGCCATGTTTCATTCACTTATAATGACATATAACAGTTCATAGAATAGGTTTCAAACACAAATTAAGTTTCCTAATGTAAAAAGGACAGTTAAGTAGAAGATCTATGGTAGCTAACATAAATAGTTCAGATTAAGGGTTTGTTGAGTTGAGTTTATTCTGAGGATAATTGCTAATACAAGAGAAAGCTTTCCATGATCAATACCATTGAGAACTTCCAAATCGAGACTATCCACATCAAATCCAGCATCAAAGTAATGCTCATACATGTGTCCTGGAGCATCAACATGAGTACCAGCATGAACAGGTAACTTCATGAGAGAGAAGTTATAATCTGAGCCATTTTTCATGCTCATGGAAAGAGAGAGAAACTCTCCAATTCCTTCAGTGTTTCCCCCAACTGGTGAGCTAGGAGTGAACTTATGTGTAATATCAAATATTCTTCCATTGTCATGAACTTCTCTTCTCACAGGCCTCAACACCGCACCATCTTCAACACAAGAACAAGAACCCAATTCATCACCATACCCAGCTGGGTATGCATCATTTGGTGATGATAAAGCCAGAGAGAGTATGTCAATCACCAGCAAAATCAATAGAGCCCTCATATTTCAGTGAAACTTTAGATGCCTCAAATGATTTTGGTGGGCCTATATATAAAAGTGCGAAAAGTCCAGACACTGCAAGAAAAACTACAGTTTCTGGGAAGATATTTTTCAGTAAGTGGCCAGAATTTCAGAGCATCTCTTGATGCTTGCGTTAATGCTGTGAAGGCATCAGAAAAATGATCTGCTTGCATTGAACTTTGGACCAAATTGGATAATAACAAATTAAACATATTTTAATTTTTTAAAAAAATTTACACCTTAAAGTTTGCATCAAAAAGTTCTCTTTAGTCCGTGAAATTCGAATGGCAACAATCAAATCCTAAAAGTTTTAATTGAATTCCAATTGAGTTTTTACATCAAAATTTATTAATTTATTATGATAAAATAGTTTTCTCGGACCAACAAGTGATTTCAGTAAAAGAATATATTTGTTTGATGAAAAGTCTTTTATGTATAGGCTAAAAAAATTTATTTTGTTTCATCTAATTTTGAGAAAAAAAGGATACAAAATAAGAATTTGAGAGATATTATGAGGCGGCGGAAGAAATACTTATGCATCTAAGAGATATATTTTTATTAGAATAAATTAGTAAATGTGAATAGAAGAACTAAATTAAAACTGGGTTAAAAATTTCTATCTTTGAGGGTATATATTGAGATTTTTTATTTTTGGGATATATATTGATACAAATTTCTATTTTTAAGGGTATAAATTGAGATTTTTAATCTTTGGGGGTGCACATTGATATAAATTTTTATGTTTGAGGGTATAAATTAAAATTTTTAATCTTTAAACGTATAAAATAAAATTCGAACAATTTTAGGATAATTTACAATTAATCTAAAATATAAATATGTAATTATTAGATTGAAATTTCAAAGATCTAAAGTACAAATTGGAAAGGAAAGGACCCAGCTTTTGGAAGATATCTAATAGAAGTGAGGTGTCCAAGGATTAGGATAGGGGCAAACAAATTTGGGTCAGTCCACGTCCACACCATGACTTCTTTGGGTTTGGCCAATCCAGTATGGTATAAGATCCTACTCTACAAACCAACTCGTGGCCCATAAATGTTACTGGCTGTCCCGGCCCACTAGTTTTAAAAGAATAGTGAACATATATCCTAAATATTATAACTTTTAATATAAAAGATGAAATGTATAATTAAAAAGTTTATTACTTGTATAAATTAATAATTTATAAATTATAACTCTTAAATAAGATAATTCATAAATTATAATTTTTTAAGATTTAAGTTATGATACGGACGAAATTCACGGTCAAGGTCTTGATGGCCCAGAAGCCTAACCAGCCCAAGAGGTCCAGAGCAGGAAAGCGGGACTTGGCATTGGCAAAAAGCCTATAGCCCAGCAGTCCGGGCCCAGCCCAAACTATAAAGCTATTTGGAGAGTAAAAGCTCAATCCAAACTATTTCTGGATGAGTAAAGGGGACCACGCGTCTAGGGCGACAATCTCAGAGAAGGTGGAGCACCAAGCCGCCAGAGATCATGACAATAGTAGCGCCGGGTGAACAGGGACGCTAGATGAATAGTGATCTTGGTGGTAGAAGAAGCAGGAGGGGGTCAAAGGAAAAGACAAGTAGAGGCCGTAGGAGAAGCTGGTAAAAGCAGGAGAGAGTCAGAGGAAATGACAACTGGAGGCCCTAGGAGAAGCTGGTATAAATGGATAACGGTAAGGAGAGGACTCTAGCTCTCCCCCCCAAAAAAAGAGAAGATCAGTGAGTGCCAAGAAGCCAAAGAACATAGAAAGCTAGGAGAGAATACCTAAGCCCTTATCCTTTGTAAGTGGACCGCGAGTCCCCAAAATTACTAAAGTCATTTCGCCAACGGATGAATATACAAATCTGGCGAGCAAGAAGCTCCATTGATAGTGGACGTAGCCTTAGTCCTTCAGCTAAGGTGAACCACTTATATTCTCAGTCTAACTGATCATAAAATATTAATCCGTAATCTACAAAACCATTTTTGTAACACTATCCCATCTTAGTTGGGCTTGGGCCCTAAAATTCGAGCACCATCAGTTGGCGCCGTATGTGGGAACGGTTTTCATCGTTTCTTTATCTGATTTTTATTTGATGGTTTCAACTCGGAATATGAGTAAAACTCCAGCCAACACTCAAGCCCACCAGAACCTGCCAGAGAATCCCCCAATTCCAGAAGTGGACACCGCAAACCACTTTCACAGCGACAAACCTTCCCCCTCTCAAGGGGATGGATACTTTTCACCAAACCATGGTGCAACTTATGAAACAGAACTAGGAGCTGTTGGAATGGATACGGACTCACCAGCTCCTTCCATTCCCATCAGCTCAACAAGAGCCCCCTCCACCTCCAACAGGTCACAACGCTCCCCTTCGAGGACACCAGGCTCCACCAAATGGGGTCACAGAGCTCCACGACCACAGTCATTCGAAGAAAACCATCGAAAGAGACATCCCGAAGGACAAAATAAGGACGAGGCCCATAGCCGAGCCACAGCTGCCTTCCAACAGGACAGACCTCGTCCCCCGTTCAAAACAGATGATCGCATATGGGAACAAAGAATCCGTGAACTCCAGCAAGAGCTGGGCAACGTGAAAGAAGTGATTAGAGGAAAGGCCCTTGACACCATGGATGCCCTAGTCTAGCAAACCGAGTTGCCATTTACACTTGAGGTCCTCCATTTCCCTCTCCCTCAGAAGTTTCGGATGTCAACAGTAGAAGCATTCGACGGGACCAAAGACCCAGTCAACCACTTAAACTCCTACACGAATCAGATAGAACTCCAGGGGTATCCCGACTCAATTCGTTGCCAAGTTTTTGCCATCACCCTGAAGGGATCGACGACAACTTGGTTCAATAGGTTACAACCAGCGTCAATCTCCTCATTTAGGAAACTGTCAATATAGTTCATCTCACACTTCATCGGAGCAAGGACATATAGAAAGTCGTCCTACCACTTGCTGAGCGTCAAACAGGGGCCAAACAAGTCCCTCAGAAGTTATGTGCAACGCTTCAACCAAGAATGTCTGAAGGTGGAAAGCATGGACGATAAATTCACATTAACCACCTTCATGTCGGGGCTCAGAGTACAATCCAAGGACCTTCTCTTCTCAATTGCTAAGAACCCTCAGGCCACTATGGCCGAGGTGTTAGCAAAGGCTGAAAAGTATATCAACGAGGAATAAGCTCTTCACCTGAAAGGGAGTTTGGCAACGCCGAAAGGGGATAACAAGAAGCAAGACTATAGCCCCAAAAGAGAGAAAATGCGCGATCGATCCCCGAGAAGAGACCGATCCCCGAGAAGGGACCGTTCTCTGAGAAAAGAAAGAGAGTCTTCCCCTAAAAGGAGAGGAAATGTCCAAGATCGGCTAGGACCTCCTTCGTAGGAGCTACTGCTGCGGTATGCTCTAGCTCGACTCCCACCCCTTGTCACCTCGATCGCTCAAATCCTCCATGAGGTCCAAAATGAGAGGTTCATCCGGTGGCCACCGCGAATGAAATCTGACCCCGGTAGATGGGATGCCACTAAGTACTATGAGTACCACAAAGACATCGGCCACGAGACGAATGACTACATACAACTCAAGAAAGAGATAAATATCTCATCTAGAGGGGACACTCACGCCACTACTTGGCGCCAGATGGAAGAGCTCGAAATAATCAAGGTCGAGAAGATCGAGCTACCCCAGAACCCCCTTAGCAGCACCAACAAGCCCTTGGCGAAATCCGCGTGATCTCTAGCGGGTTCGTCGGAGGAGGCGAATCCAGCTCAGCAAGTAGATCACATGCCCGGAAGGCACGTTCGAAAGATCACCTTGAAATCCATACCGTACGAAAGGTGCCACGCCAAGAAATGGAGATCATTTTCTCAGATGCAAACCTCGGAGAATGCCAGCAGCCACATGACAACCCCCTAGTCATAAAGGCGATCGTCGTCAACAAAATCGTGCATCGAGTACTCGTCGACAATGGAAGCTCTGCTGATATCATTTTCTTGTCGACTTTCGACCAATTGGGCATAGAAAGGTCGAACCTCGAACCCGTGAAATCCCACCTACTAGGTTTCTCGGGCTAAAAGGTCCTGCCAATTGGACTCATCCTCACCGTTGGGGAACAAACCTGTCAGGCTACGACCACTGCTCGATTCCGGGTAGTAGACGCTTCATCCGCCTATAACATCCTGCTGGGTAGGCCATCTCTCAACTCCATCAAAGCGATACCTTCGGCATATCATTTGGTGATGAAATTCTCCACAAAGAATGGGGTCGGCATGGTCAGGGGGAACCAACGCTTGGCCAGAGAGACGAATTAGATACCAGGCCAAGGACCTGGACATGAGAAACGAATTAGATCCCAGGCCTACCCCTATGGAGCAGTTGGAGCCCGTGCAGTTGGAGGAAGACCCGGGGCACGTGGTGTTCATAGGTTCAATGCTACTCTCGTCCATCAAGGAGAAGCCCATCTCGTTCCTAAAGGCAAATACTGATGTTTTCGCTTGGAAATAAAAGGACATGGAGGGAATAAATTCTCACAGTGATCGTGCATCGTTTGAGTGTTGATCTAAGCTGCAAACCTATCAGGCAAAAGAGAAGAAGGTTCACGCCGAAAAGGCAAAAAGCCATTAACGAGGAGGTGGCTAAGCTGCTGTGGGCCAAGGCCATCAGGGAGGTTGACTACCCGACTTGGCTAGCCAATGTCGTGCTCGTAAGAAAGGTGAACGACAAATGACAGCTTTGTATCGACTTTATCGACCTGAATCGGGCATGCCCCAAGGATAGTTTCCCTTTACCTCGAATAGATCTGATCGTTGACGCAACCGCTGGCCACGAGCTCTTCAACTTCATGGATGCCTTTTCGGGCTACAATCAAATCAAAATGGACCCCAACGACCAGAAGAAGACATTGTTCATCACAGAACAAGGGGTATATTGCTACCAAGTGATGCCCTTCGCCTAAAAAATTGCCGAAGCTACTTATCAGAGACTAGTCAATAGAATGTTCAGCGAAAAGGTCGGTCTGACCATGGAAGTCTACATAGACAATATGCTGGTAAAATCACTGAAGGCCGAATCCTATATCCACCACCTCGGGGAATCTTTTGAGATTATGCGCCAATACAGAATGAAGTTGAACCCAACAAAATGCACCTTTGGGGTATCAGCAGGGAA